AAGTTAAATTATTTTTAAGACTATATTATGAGCATACCAGATCCCATCTTCATTTTACCTGCTGGCCGTTTCCTGATCTTTAGGGGAAGCTCCTCCAGGTTCGGGCAGGCTATGCAAAATGCCCTATAGCAAAGTTCCCTCAAAGCTGCCAATCACCTTTCTTCATAAATAGTGTTTCTGGTATTAAATAAAAGTATTACTTCTTTTTGTTTTTTAGACAAAAACATGCCATGAGAGAATAAATATGTAATTTCCATAACTATGAAAACTGGGACAGAAAAAACTAAAATAGTAGATCTTTATTTCTCTACTCTAATATTCACTGTATTTGAAAATTAAAACTGAGAGAAAAGTCCTAATCTCTCAGGCTTCACTTAATGAATCCTAGTGAAATGTTCAAATTGACCTTTACTACAAACTGAGCTGCTCTCCACTAGAAAAAATCTGTTTCTTGAAATCCAAATGTCATTTAAGAATACCATAATCATTTAAATCACAATGTTCACCACAGAAAGTCAGTAATTCTTTAGACATATAGGTGAAGTGTAGAAAAGGGAGAAGTATGATTCATGTTTTTGAGAGCAATAAATCAGAAATGATCTCCTTTGAAACAAAATGTACAAATATGTTTGGTGATGCAGAACTTAAAGGTAAGTTCTTGTCTGTATCTCTTTGTCACCATTAAGGTAAGTTCTTGTCTGTATCTCTTTGTCACCATTAATTATTATTCAATACTTTATAAGGTGGTTACCTTTGAATTCACTCTCAGTGTTTCTCTCATGTCATTCTCAGGACAGAAGAGGTCAAGGTAGGTACAGAGGAATATCTGATGTTGGAGTATTAGATGTCAAATAGATCATGTTTCACACAGGTAGGCACAAGAGTTGGTAGAGTTCTAATGAGTACCCCATTCAATTAACCTAAGAACACTGTAAACATTCAGCTTTCCTTTTAAGTAGTTCAATATTAGAACGTTACCCAACAGTTTGTTACTCAAAGGGCTAGATTTAATCATGCAACAGTTTTGCATGATTAATAAATATATTTGGTTATTTAGGAGACAGTATAACGTGGCGGTTATTATTACTATGGGCTTTCTAGAACTTAGACATCTGGACAAGATATCTCCAATCTTCAATTTCTTCATGTTAAAATGGGGCTAATATTACCCCTCTAAAAAATGATTGAGGGTTAAATGAAGTAATGCATATTACATGCTCCAACTTCATTGGAATCAAAGTTATATCAATTTAAAGTGCAATAGATTCTTCATAGGATTTATTCAATAATGGTATGCTTCAAAAACATTGTCTTCCAATGAAGCAGTTTTTGGAATATAGTTGATAGACTTTTGATGATATCTTTAGTCTACTAAGACTTTCCCACCATGACATCAAATTTTAAGTACCTTTTTGCAACTTGAATATAGCTGCTAGACAGATACCGATAGTGTTATTCTCATCCTCACATATGATGTCTTGAGGGTTCAGAATGCCCACACTAATCTCTATATTAAGCTAACCTTTCTCTAAACCACAAGTCATGAGCATTGGGAGAGGTGACATTTGACTTTACTACCTGTAAATGACCTTTCTTTGATTAATTTCCCTTGGCCACGTCACACACTCTCTTTCAGTTATGAAGCAGGAAATAGCTCTTTACTTCTATCCCTGTAGGGCTTTTAATTCCCTAGGTTGCCACCATCTGGCTATAAAAAAGAAGTTTAAATCCCTGGATTCTTTCCTTCACTTTCTGTTTGTAATGCATTCTTCTGTTTTCTTCAGTCTATATAGTATTGTGTTTAAATATGCAATTAGAGTCTGCTATACTATGAAAGGATTTTGGTTTACAAAGAGTTGAGGCTTCTCACAAACACTGACCATGTAATTCCATGAGTTTTTCACAGGATTAAAAACAAAACAAAACAAAACAGGATCATACTCCTACTGGCACTGGTTTACATACCAAATATTTCTCTTGAGCTGCAACCTGTCATCACCCTGCTTTAGAGTATGGTTATCCCCAGCAGAATCCAACCATTGGTATTATAGATCTTTAGGATGGTTTGTTCTCTTTCCACCTCCCAGTTCCAAAGTCAATGATCATTTTTGGTTTTCTTTCTTTTCCTTTTGGGTGTTTATTATTCTGCGTCTAAATTAATGCTCACTAGATAATGTGTTCTCCTTTCACTGCTAACCTCTTTCTACTCATGAGCGGTGTCTTCAAAGTTTAATCATCTTTTTCTTGTGCTAACACTTTTTTGGAGGTTCCAATAACCTCAGTGTACTTTCTGTGTGATTTTAGAGTTTCTTAGAAGAACATTCTTCCCAAAGTCTTCTAGAATTTTTTTTTAAGCAATAGCTACCTACATTTGACTTCTCTCAAAGTTTCTTGATTTTTGCATTAATGGAACTCATTTCTTCAAATTCTGAACACACGTGCATTTTAAAGCAACTATGATAGCTTTTAGTGACATCTTTAAAAATGTGTACTTTAATTTTTATTCAGAAACCTTTCCGATCTTCACCTTCTTTGTCTAAGTTTAATTCCCACAATTTATAATCCTCATTTGGGATAGAGACAGTTTCATCTGCTCTACAGCAAACGTGCTCTCTAGAAGAAATCCGATAGTCTATTAAAGTGTGGATTTAAATGATAATGTTATCTTTTCTAGGGACATAGGTATTTGTGTAAGAGCCTATCTCTAATTGTAAAGTGACACTCTTAAGAATTATTAAACAAAACTATTGTTCAAGATAGATAGAATGAGAAGACTCTTACCATGTGGAACTCACGTGCCACCCAGAACCCAAGACTATCAATTTAGTCAGGGAGGCAAAGTTGGGCGGTATTAAGATGCCTTACTTATGGACAGGATTTGGTATCTTAGAATGCTTCTTTTGAAACTATGGTTCAAATTCTGGCTTCCTTGCTTCTTCATAGTGCCAATCTAGGTTGACAGGAGAAAGTGAGAACATTGCTCCATAGCCTGCTTAAAAAGAGAACATCACTTCAAAGGGAGTAACATCTAACAAAAATAAAACAAGTAATCAGTTTTAAAACATTGTGCCTATGTGTGCTTGTTAATCTTTTTCAGGGATTCAGGTTATTTTAGGGTACCTAGTCTGGATGATTACATTCTATATCTAGCACAATAATGCCATCTAAATAAAAAAAAATTAATATGTAATTAGCCTCCAATTTTTTTGTTATTAGGAAAGTATTGCAATGTTTTGAATTGTCCCCTCCTACCTTCTGCTAGGAACAAAAGCAAAAGTTAAAAACGTGGAGTTAATTCCTTGAACAAACAAAAATACACTTTTATCTAAATTCTTTAAAAAGCCAACTAGGGTTTTTAAACCTAAAACAGATAAAATAAACCATCTAAAGAAAACAAAACTAATATTTCATAATATACCATTTAACTACACCACCTTTTAAACTTTTTTCTTTTACTAATTGCATTTAGTGGTTGCATTCCTTGATAGTCAGCCTGGTCCCTGAATTATCAGGTATTAACATGAAATAATTTGTTTATGAAACAGAGGGGTCACATAAATGTATTTTACTCAAAATTATATTAATATACAATTGTAATCACTTCTATTTATACTTGTAAAATTTATACTATAAGTACAAAGGCATCTACATGCTTCACATGGTCCATAAGCCAGAGCTGATCTGTTATAGATATTTGTAACATGACTTGTGATTCAAGATTGGACCAGATTCTTTATGGAATGAGAATGTATCTGTGATACTCTACCCTTTTTGTCCCTTGAAAACAGAGTTTAACCCATGGAAACTAGGTGAGTATGTGATTAGCTCCATATTCATCCATTCAGTAAATGTTTATTGAGTACCAACTCGTGCCAAATACTGTGCCAGTTCTGAGAAAACAAGTGTTAGCAGGATAGGCATCATCTCTGCCCTTAAAAAGATGCCATTCTAGTGAGGGAGTTTGTTTTTTAAAAGCTCAACAAATGAAAAAAATATTTACAAATTGTATAATGAAGGAAATGTGCACGGTGTTAACATAGAGGTTGGTCCAGGGAAGGTGCAGTTTTGATAGGATGGTACAGAAAGGACCAGAAAGACCCAGCTATGTGAAAAGAGGTGGGGTCAGGTACGTTTCTCCCCACCTTCTCACTCCCTCCCCAAGGTGAGATTTAACTATCCAACTGGATACAGTAGGCAAAGAGTACAGTATTGCACTTCATTGGTGGGACATTTTTATGCATAGTCTAACTATGCTTTTAAAATGTGTACAGTATAGTACAGCAACAGAAATATATTCTCTAACTGCTATGAAAATACTGTTGAGAAAAATTGTGAACAATGTGAATTAATACAGTTTATACAAACATTCCTTCCCATGAGTGGAACTCAGTCTCAGAGCCAGGAATATTCAAGTGCAGAGGATGAAACAGAACCCCTAATTTTAGTATGTAAACAATCTTGTCTTCTTTGAGGTGAATTGGCTATATCATGACCTGCAAATGGGAAAGCAACATAAGATGTTCAAAAGAGGAACAAGTTTCCCAAAATGGTCTAATCCCCACAGTGCTCATGAGATTTTGGCCATTCTAAAATTTGGGAGCCATTGCCCATCTGCCCAAATTTCCCATTCTTGGGGAGACAAGAGTACCAAACATAGTGTCCACTATGCTTAGCCACTAGAGGGAGAGAGTGTGCCTCTGGTGATTAGGGAGCCAATGAAAGTAACTCAGGAGAAGGATAGTCTTTCAAGGGAGCTAAATTAAGCTCTAATCAGCCAGGGGGCAAAGACTTTATCAACAGTGGTAGCTTTGGGGAACTTGAGGATGATTCCTTAAGACTTCACAATTGATCCTCTTCTAATAAATAATTAAATTGCTTAAACTATCCAGATAGTTCCTCTTAATTTTTAATATGTTTTAATTTATCTTTACTAAGAACCTCCATAACTTTGCAGATACTTAAACACTTAGGCTTAGCTTTTGGGAGGGATTTATGGCAATTTAGAGAAGTTATGTTACCTTTTATATACTGGAAATTTATATAGTATGAGCAACATTCCACTTTTCTAAGATAACTTGATTAAAATTTTTGCTACCTATTGGGATGATTAAAATGATTTGTGGAATTGTATGTTGTCTTCCCAAATATGACTTGAGGAAAATTACTTTTATTTACATAATTGACAGGTTAAACAAAAATTAGCTTTACCAACATGCATAACTCTCAGGAACTGCAAATCGGTTAATCTCGTTAGCTGTATGGCATCATTTTCCATAATTTAATACTGGCACAATTGTTGTTTAATAAATACAATGTATGAAACAAACTTTTAAAAAGTAATTCATCATTAAATCTCAATTTAGTATTATACAAGTTATATGGTACCCATTATTTAGTGTGTATCAATGTTAATGAACTCTCAACCCATCTCAAAACCTAAAGAAAAGACATTCTCAAAAATTTCCCGGACATAGAGTGGTGCTTAAGATACGGATCGTGATTTTATTTTCAATGTATCATTTCTCCTTCCTCAGTGGGGAGGGAAGGTGGAACCACGTCAGCAACTATTTCTAGGATTCTTGAAAGGAGTAGGAGTATGGTGCCTGCTCCTACTCTTTCAGCATTGATTTTCTTCACAATCTGCGATATGGTTTCTCAGAAATGCTGTTTGGCAGTCCTGATAATTTCATGTGTTTTCAAACTTAAGCCACCCAGACTACGCAGTTCAGTATTTTCAGCTCCTTTCATTTTCCTTTTCCCTTTAATTATAGAAGTCTCTATTCCCATTTTTTGCAAATGTGGTCAGGAAAGATGCTAAACGCTACCATTTGTAGAAAGAACATGCATTTAACACGAGGATCCATATAAGTTCTTCTCAAATAATAAAAGCTGTAACTGATGATATTGATGGGCAACACCTTACTCCTAACAACTTTTGGAACCTCACCTGCTCCTTGAACTCTGGTGGGTGTGGCAGCTGCCTGGGGGAGAAAAAGCAAGTAAACACTTTAATTTTAAACCTGCACTGTAAAGCACTTTCCAAACAGTAATAGTTGAGCTTCATTTCAGACCTAAATTTCCTTCTTAATCCATTCCCAAGGACCCCTCTACCCTGATTCGTGTCCTGGTCTAGCGGTGCCGTTTACTGAAAACTGTACCGCATAGTTTATTGCGAAGCCCGAGTGGGTGGGTCCACGCGCACACCTCGACTCGGGCCAGGACGCCGATCCCGAAGCTTCGCGTCGGGCGCCTGGATCGCAGTCCGCTCCCTTCGCCCGGCCTCACCACAAATCCCAGTTTGAAAGAAAACTTCACGCGGCTGAAATGCACGTCCCCTCACCGTTGCAATCCTTCCTTCGCAGCCGGCAGAAAATGTGAGATTTATTGTGACTCAGGGGGCGTGGGTGGGAGGGGACTCTTCGTGGCACTCTCGGAAGCGGGTTACCTGTGGCACCTCTCTGGGGGCCGGGGCCGCCGTCCAGGGGCCCGCGGGGCGGGGG